GGCTTTGCTGTAGTTGTGGAAATAACCACTCAACTTTATCCAAGAGATTTACTCCAACTGCTTCCAACTAATGAAATTCTTGTCAACGTGGATGACACGTGGCACCATTATATTTTTTTTGCAAAAATGGGTGTAGACACTAACGGACTAGCAAATGAAATCTAAACGTTCCAGATACCTTTTTTTGGTCAATTCATTTTCACGATTTACGGATTCATTGAGGATGTGGCGCTGTTGGTCTGAGAAGAAGCAGTTGAAGCATTGCTACGCTTCTGGGAACTCTGGCTTGAGGATGATTCAGTGAAGAAAATTATGTGTTCTTGGTTGTCTACAAATACTTGTAGAGATCTCGGAATTGGGGGCAGGTTCACATCCAAAATCCCCTCAAGCTTCTGAACAATCTACCCCATGGACGGCCTGTGAGTTTCATCATCTTGGATGCACCAGCATGCCACTTTGCAGATTCTTGATAGCTCTTCTACATTGGCGTTGCCATCCAACCTGGGGTCTAACAGCCTAAGGACATCGTACCCTTGAGACACTATGCTTGCAGCCCAAGTTGGGAAGAAACGAACTTTCCCATCTGCAGTATGTTCAAAGTTTCTCGTTCCTGATACAAACTCGAAAAGCATCATCCCGTAGCTGTAAACATCTGCCTTGGCTGTTATGGCTACTCCTGAAATCCACCCTGGTGCCAAATAGCCTCTTGTCCCTCTCATGGTTGTAAGGACCCTGCTGAAGTCCCGGCCAACAACCTTTGCCAGGCCAAAATCTGCAATTTTTGGACAGAACTGTGCATCCAAAAGAATGTTCTCTGGCTTTATGTCACAGTGAATGATGCAATCTCTGCACTTTTCATGCAGATAAACCAAACCTCTAGCTGTTCCTAGCGCAATTTTGTACCTTCTTTCCCAGTCCAGAACCTTTGAATCCTTCTCGTGGAAAAGATGGGTATCTAAAGAACCATTTGGCATGTAATCATAGACCAACAACTTCATTGTACCTTCAGAGCAGAACCCTCGAAGCCGAACAAGATTAACATGCTGGATTGTCCCAATTGTGCTGACTTCTGCTCGAAACTGCTTCTCCCCCTGACTGATGCTCTCAAGCTTCTTGACAGCTATGACAGTTGAGTCTGGTAATGTCCCTTTGAAAACAGAACCAAAACCTCCCCCTCCCAGTTTTTCAGAGAAATTCTTTGTGGCATTTTGCAAATCTCTGTATCCAAATACCATCAGAAAATCTTCTACTGCTTTTACAATTTTGACTGTTCTCTTTCTCTGCCTCAATGTTACAAACACGGCAAGGGCAAACAGAAGTAAACCCACTAAGCCTCTGATGGCACCAATTAATTGCTGCTGTACTGCTTTTCGAACTTGGAAATTCTGAAGCTGCAAGTCTGGTATAGGTGGTTTTTCCATTTTTATCACCATCTGCAAGCTGTTGCAAATTCAATAGATCCCAATACCAAACTGTACAATACCAAACTGTACACTCATTGTTCTCGTAACCATAAGCAGTGCAATTGCAGTCACTAAGGCAGACAGATTCACATTCTTTAAAGCTCCTGGCTGTGGCGTTTTGTGGATGCCCAGGCTGTCGCATGTTGAGGCTTTTCAAAAATTT